CTGGAACAACATGTACGTTTGTTTCGGGACGCCATGGGCGCACAATTTGTGTTTATGGATGACAACACCCGTCCTCACCGTGCAAACATCGTAAGCGAATGCGTTCAATTGGAAGATATCACCCGTATGGATTGGCCACCATTCTCACCGGACTTGAATCCAGTAGAGCACGTGTGGGACATGCTTGGACGACGAGTTGCAGGCCGTCAACCTTCTCCTACATGTCTACCGGAATTTCGGAGGGCATTGCTTTTTGAGTGATGTAATATCCCCCAAGATCAGATCGATAATTTGATACTCAGCATGCCTAGGCGTTGTACGGACTGTATTGCATCGTCTGGGAGACATACAATGTATTAACAGTCATACCAACCATGTAATATTGGTTTTTTGTAAATAGGTGTTTTTTGTAATTTGCTCCAGGGAGAATTTTTTTAATAATATCAAACATATAGCATCTTTTTTTGCTCTTTACCTTTTGTTTAATAAGTAAGCTTTACAAATAAGTCAAATTTGTTTTGCTTCTAACTCTTACTTATCTCTACAGTCATGTCCATACATGACTGTAGAGGACATGAGTATACATACTACACTCATGTCCATAAATTAAGGATAATGCAAAATCAGGCATTATCCTTAATTTATGGACATGAGTGTATTTGTAAGCGTTAGCATTCGGGTTGTGTTCAGCAAGGTCCTTCATTCCAGAGTTCGGCGGCTGGTTTCCAGTATCCGTTTCTACATTTTTCCTTGCTCCAACTATCGTTTGGATTATTGCTGGACGGAATCCTTTAGGCATTCGTAAGTCCAGTTGCTCTTTATCAGTGAGCGGAGGCCAATCATCAGGACGCTCTTCGAGCTGAGTGATGAGAACTTCCACAAAATCTAGCAGTTTCTCAATCATGACGAAGCACTGAACAGTTAAAATCACAAGAAAAAGTAATGCTCAGAGATCAGTACTGCAAGGTACACAATGCCGTTTTACGGTGCTAACAGTTAAAGCCGAAGCACTAACCTTCTATGATATCCTTACAGCGGTGAGGTAAACTAACAACTACTAAGTAACTATCTAATAGCTGACCGCCTACGTGACTGGGTCAACTCAGAATAAAATATGCGCACTCCAAACTACGTCCTACACGTATGCTGTCTCAAACGCGAATGCACGTTTGAAGTCAAATCAAATCAAATCACTAGTCATTTAATAAGTGTTCTGCCTCGAAGGGACATTTACTTATATATGTCACATCTCTTGTGATCGCCTTGAAGAAAGAGACTTTATTTGACTAAAGCCGTAGAGCCGTCCGGAAAAGTAGCAATTACATGGCATAGCTGTAGAGATAAGCAATGGCTGCAAGCGTAAAGTGGAGGCATGATCCTGGGAGATTTATCCTCTGTTTAAAAAGTACACAATAAAATATACATATAAAAATCCTGAGTAAATAGTAAAAGAAAGAGACTTTATTTGACTAAAGTCGTAGAGCCGTCCGGAAAAGTAGCAATTACATGGCATGGCTGTAGAGATAAGCAATGGCTGCAGGCGTAAAGTGGAGGCATGATCCTGGGAGATTTATCCTCTGTTTAAAAAGTACACAATAAAATATACATATAAAAATCCTGAGTAAATAGTAAAAGATGAGAGAAAAATATTTACAAGTCCTCGTGTTGATTTTTTGGAAAAAGGTTCGACCAAGGATCGAACTTGCTATCTCATTTCTTGACGCAGAAGATGAGACTTAGCCCGCTCGGCTACTGAGCACTGCTGGTTTTTTGTGGATAATCTAGATAAATAATTCTAATAATAATATAATCTAGATAATAATGTCTTAAAAGTGCTTTCAAGGCGAAATTAATTTTGCTTTTTTCGTTATTTATGGTAGAGAACTAACTAATCGTAGAGATCCTTTAATTTCAATATTAAGTCTAAATTCTTCGAAATTAGTGGGTTCAGATCTTTTAGTTAGTTTTTCTGGCTTGTTTTGTAGAGTCTCGGCGTAGGTTTTGTTACTTTTTTGGTTGGTTTCGTCTGCTGGTTTGCTGTTTTTGATAAGTTCGGGAAAATCTTTATCTAGGGTAGGAGGGTTGAAGGATTTTTGCTGATTTTTCTGTTTTCCCAAATTCTCAGGTCGTTTTGGACAATCGGAACTGCGTGCGGCCCCAGGCAAAGCACACATTTGACTTGGATATCCATTTTGCCTTTTAATGGACATTCGTAAGATTGATGTGGATCGAGACATCTGACACGTCTTGATGTGTTGTGACATGCAACTTGTGTATGTCCGAAACGCTAGCATTTGAAACATTGATGGGTCCCGGTTGGCTTTTGCCAGATTTAACTCTTACTCTCATGTCTGAGATATGTGTTATATTAAAAATCTTTTTTCCTTCAGTATCTCTTGAGGTTTCAATATAAAAGACAGGCAATAATGTGGGGATTCCGCTTCTCATACGTGTAAGTTGGTAACATTTTAAGATTTTGATGCCATGGCTTTCTATTTCTGCTTTTAATTCATCAACGGGCGTGTCTATTGTGAGACGGTTTTTAGATTCTTTTGAAATGAAGGATTTTGCATCCTTCATTTCTTCGTCGTCCGGGTTTTGTTCATCATTAAGGGCGCTATAGCGCGAACTTGCCACTATCGCGTCTAGATCTTTTAACTGTTGTCCAGTCTGAATCTTCAATATCTTGGAAGTTTTGTTTAATTGCCTTGGCTTTGGGCGGAGGTTTTTAAAATTTATCATTGTTTTTAGAACTGGTGGGTTGATTTATTTCAGTTGACGCGAGGGCCTTATCAATCTCTTGTTCATCTACGTTTGATGCACCTAAGATACGATCAATTTGAGATTTGGGCATAACTTGTCTTAAAAGTGCTTCCTTTGCAATTAGTTCTGCTCGAACTAGTTGTTTAATCTGATTACTTTCGTGAGAGTTTGGCAATTTACTAATTTCTTCGACCGCATCACGAAGTTCGGCGACTTTATCTAATAATTCAGCTATTTCCTGATTTTTCGAGGGTACTTTAGGTTTGTTGAGGCAACTGCCCGCGTTGTCAATACCATCACTTTGTGCCTTAGACATGTCAGCGTGGATGTCGTTTAACGTAATGCATACTTACAGTAAAATCAAGTAGAGAGCAGGACAAGAAAATTCCGAACTGGTCTCAGAGCTCAGTGTTCAGAATCCATATCATCGCGTGTTTGAAGTACCGATGTAACGCCCTTTTATACTTTTGATCAATGTCCGGATTCCCATCCTAACCACTTCATCGCCAGGTTTGGCGACTATTTTTATGTTGGGCTTCACTCATCCAATGTATCAGAAACGGCAAGAACGTTTTTGGTTACTTTGTATTTGTATATTGAGGAAGGCTTGATTTTTATCAAAATCCTTATTTAGGGGGGAGGGGAGGGGGCAGAATTCTGAAATTTTGACATATTTATTATTGAAATCCCTCAGTAAGCTTCAGTTCGGCATGTTAGTATAGTTACAATACTAACATTCATATTTGGATTTTGCAATTGTACACTGACTACCAATAAGTATTTGGACACCTGTGATAGAAAAGAAAAACTAACTTTATTCGAATTCAATAGTTGGTAGAACATCCACCAGAGGTAATTACAGCGTGGACCTTCGGGCATACTTTCCACAAGTCTTTGTATGACAGCTAGTGGTATTTTCTTCACTCGGCTTGGAGAAGACATACAAGTTCCTTCACCGATTTTGCACGGGTAGTGCACCCCTGAATTCGGCGATGCAACTCGTCCTAGAGGTTCTCGATAGGGTTCAGGTCTGGACTCTGGGCAGGCCAGTCCATCGATGAACTCCATTGGCCCATACCAAGCCTTGGTTAACGTCGAAACATGACAACTGGCATTGTCGTCCTGAAAGTAACAGGGGTCCAACCCGTAAAACTGCCACAACGTAGGAAGCACATTGTCGTCCAAAATAGTGCAGTAGTAGGCATCGGAGTTGAGCTTACCATGAATGGGGACCAAGGTCCCAGCCATCCAGGAGAAACACCCCCAGACCATAATTTCACCTCCGCCGAACTTGACTGTTGGCACAAAGCATTCTGGCAGGAGACGTTCTCCAGGTAGACGCCAGACCCAGCCATTTGAACGGTAAAGGGTGAACCTTGATTCGTCACTCCAAAGAACCCATTTCCACTGATCTACGGTCCAATTTCGATGTGCTTTGCACCAAATTAACCGAACAGCGCGATTGGATTTTGTGATCAAAGGCTTATGGGCAGCAGCACGACCATAAAAACCAAGCAGATGTGCTTCCTTACGGATGGTATTCATTGAAACAATACTCCCGGATGCCTGTTGAAACTCCTCGCGGAAGGGGGCCATTGGTTGGGTGCGGTGTTTCCGAATTTCTCTGGACAGCACTCGTCGGTCTCTATCTCCCAGTTTCGTTGGTCTGCCGACTCGAGGCACATTCCGACAATCACCGCTCACTTTCCACTTCTTAATCACATAGGCCACTGTCGATTTTGGGTACTTCAGATCGCTAGATATGTCCCTTAAGGATCAGCCACATTTGTGATACCCGATAATTATACCTTTCTCGAAATCAGAGAGGTCCGAACCGCGAAGCATCTTGCATGCGACTAAAGCCTATGCTGTTTCCTACACGATATATACCAGCGGAGTCCGTGACGTACCTTAGGACCGCAGATATCGTCATTTGCATAGGTGTCCAAATACTTATTGGTAGTCAGCGTATAATTTTACAGAACTTTTACCTTCAAACAGAAGTTGTAATTTTTCTTTTATTGAATGACTTTAATTTAGAATACTCAGTACTTTGCAGGATTGTATATAACTATACAGTTAATTATTTTTGCAATGTTTTTCCTTGTTATTTATCAGACTCATACAAACTGAAAAAGAATATTTGCCAAAAATCCAAAATTTCTTACATAACACATTTCTAAATCATAGAATGCTTATTGTTCACATATTTAAAAGAAATAATAACATGCTTTCAGGATCTGTCAGAAGATGATGTGATGGTCTTGGATTCTGGCGATGCCTTGTACATTTGGATTGGAAAAGGGGCCAATGTTGATGAGAAACAAATGTCTTTGCAAATGGCTGAGGTAATTAACTCTCTTACCCTTTTATCCTTTGCAGCATTTCCCTGAGTAAATGCATATAGAAGCTCCCAAGAAAGCTTTTAATACGTATTTTAAGATTTAATAGAAACAAGAACTGAGAGAATAGTTATTTTTATTCTTATTTTTGAAGTGTAGCATAATTTCAAATTTTATTTTGCAATAAAAATATTGCTATGGCTGACCTTACAAAGAAATGCAGAGGGCACAGAAATTGATTTCAAGTTTCTTAAAATAGATATGTTGGTTTGAAAAAGAAAAGCCTAAATTTTCACAACTTGTTTCCATAGCCTTGTGACTGAAAAAAGAGAATGTTATCTTTTATTTATTTGTTTAAAGAGATGCTTTATAAACAATCTCATTTTATTATTATTTTTACATATCTACTTATATACAACCCAAAATAAAGTCATTTCTGAAACCCCAAGCTTACAAATGTGTAGCGTAGCTTAACCCCTTGCACTTTGAAAGGTTCTGAGCAAGACTGAATTTGCTTTCATGATGTTTCATTATTTTTAAAGTAGCTACAAAAATTTCGACTATCTTGAAAAAAAAAAAAAAAAAAAAAAAAAGATAGATAGGGGATATTAAACTGGTAACATATTAGGTACTTAAAAAATTAATTTAAACTTTACGGCATGCAAGCAAAATATGATGATGATATCGCAATTTTGGTCCACAAGCTGAGCAGTCAGAGGGTTAAGCTACTAACAGCATGCCGATGAGAGACATTTTCTGAAATAGTCATTGCAGCATCTTTCATGAACTGGCCCTTTTTTGAAGGCGTATACTAATCGCTATACCTTGTTATCATAAGTTTACCAGAATGAAGAAGTTTTCACAGGTTTTCAGCCTTTTTTATTTCTAAGCTAAGGAAGTATTCTGTATTTTCATATATTGCTTTACATTTATACTGCAATTCCAGTAGAAAATTATCTTTAATTTCTGGAGTCCAAGAGAGAGAAAAGTCCATTATCATCATATAGTGCTAATAAAAGTTTCTGCTTTTTAAAATCACTGTAAAAGTATGGGCCAGCTTTCCTTTCTTTCAGACCCTATTATTCTAGATATTCCTTGAATTTGTTACTCCAATATCTCTGCGATTGCTTTTGTTTATGGACTTTTAATCAGTGTACATATTCGGCTTGATTTGTCATCAACAAACTCAATACTTTGCAGCAGAGTTAGCTGCAGTTTGTACCCACTGATAAAGGTAATGGCAAGATAAAAGGTTATGATGTTCTTTGGTATTTAATTACTAATAATTTTTTAAAAAAATGTTTTGATATTGTTACGAGTCATTTCTGAAACTGCAATATGTTTATAGTTATGTGGTGATGAAAGAAAAAAATAAAAAATGATTCATCAGGTTGACGTGAGTGCCGAAGTGAAATTAAGAATCAGGACTCTTCCCATGTTTTATTATGAAAAAAATATCAAATTCCCTAAACAAAGCATTTAAAAAAAAGTTTTCTGGTGATTAAGAAATCCAGATATTATATTATTATTGATTTCGGACTTTGTAATGCATTGAGGTGTACATACAAAACATTCTGTGCCAGTGATTTCTCAGATAATCTAGTCTTAGTCTTTTACCAGAAAATAATTTGTAGGGTGATTTTCCCTCAACTGCTGATGTTCCAGCATCATTCAATACGTGTGCAACTGCTTAAACCATTTTCAGCCCATAGTAATGTAAGTAATCTTTAGCAAACATGACTGATCTTACTAAATCTACAAATTTCTTATTGGCTTATTTAGTTGATCCATTTTGTTAAGATGTTATAGAGTACTATAACAAAATTCTAATCCTATTTTCTTGAAGAGGCCCTTTTGGTTTAATATACTCCTGTATATATCAGTTAATATAATCCACTATGAACAAAACAGTTAATATGTTTTATTTGGTTTTTCTCTTCGATTATTGAAGAAAATACAAAGCTCTTCAAATTTACTTGAAACTTCTGACTCGTGTTTGGAAAAAATATTTGTAGCCATCTATGAAACAAAGTAAAGAGAACAACCCATGGATTTCTCCCCATAAGTCCACATCTATTGCACATTGTTGATGGCTTTGGAATGGCAGCCCCTGCTGGTTGCCTAGAAAACATGCTTTGCAAAAGTCAAATTTAATTCTGTCCCTTGAGAGTGGAGCAACATTTTTGTATGTTGTTTACTCAAGGCCCTCATCTCTCATGCCAGAGTTGAATAAAGCTCACTTCATTTAATTGAGCTTGGAAATTTCCACTGAAGCATCATCAAGAACAGCCTCTGGCTTCACCGATCTTGTTGGAACAAACCTCAAAATCTCCTTCCTTTTTCCACAAGTAAACCCTCAACTATCCACTTTCATCTCACGCAGTTTACAAAGACAAGAAGTTTATCTGTTGTGAACAGTTTTATAATTATTTTTTTAAAATTTTCTTAGGAAAAAAAGATTTCCTTTCGTACAGAACACTTTAAGACTAACTGCAGATGCAACATGCTAGGCTTAAGAGAGAACCACACAGTCTACTTTGCATAACAATTTTAATAATTTGCCATTATAATTTCAACAGCAACAACACCTTTGGATTTAACAAATTCACACTTATCACTTCACATACTGAATTCTGAACTGTGATATAAAGCTTGACATACTCGCCCCCCCCCAATTTCATTTGGGCATTCATACTTTGTACATGTCTTGTAACAATCATTTTTGTTAGATATGTTGTGTAGCTCTAGTGTCTATAACCTACACATCATCACTTTCTGCAGTCAAACACACACTAAAGAAAATTTCATCACTGCTTGATTTTCTGTCATGTGAAGGACAGTCAAAAGTCGTTAATCCGGACTCGTCGGGACTTTGGCGATTCCAGATTATCGATTTTTCCGGATTATAGATCATCAGTTTAAATCTGGTAAGATGGCATGCAGAAATTACAAAATTAAAAATATGAAACCGTAATTTATGAAATAAAAAACAATTATGATCTAAAGGGTATCAAAATTTACAAAAAAAAAAAAAAAAAGCTTATATTTACTTGTTTACTTTATCAAACATTCCTTTCAATGTAAGTTGCTTCGTTTCATGTGATAATACTTTCTCTTTAATTCTATTAAACAGACATAATTTCTTGTTTAGTTACAAAGTTCCGCTGTTCAAGTCCTATACTTAGGAAAAAAAGATTTCCTTTCGTACAGAACACTTTAAGACTAACTGCAGATGCTACATGCTAGGCTTATGCCAGTACCAGCATTTCTAGTTAATATCAGATTGTGCCTATAATCTCTTGAAAAACTGAAAGTATGGTAGGTACCACTTAATGTGATCATGTTTATGTATGGCTATTTTGATAACATTGCACAACGAGAAACATTTTCTTCAAACTAGTAGTGGAATTTAATTAATATAAATATATCAAGAAATATATAAACAGGTATTTCCACAGCATTTTAAATAGGAAAATATGAAAGTTTGTTTATAATGTCTTTAATTGAAAAGTTCATTTATAAACTGTTCATAATGTTTCTCAAAATTTTTTGGCTGATGTAGTATCCCTAATATTAAAATTTGGAAGGCATTCTTCATTGGAAGAGAATAGGCCAATGTCAAATTTTAAATAAAGCAAAAAGCAACCCTAATTTGAAAATATTTTTAGAGAATTTTATTATACCGACTAAAATGTTTTCGTTTTCAATAACCTGTGGGTCACTTTCTTCACTATCGGAAGCGAATTATAATGACGAGGAACTTGATTTAAATCATATCAAAGACAGAGTACATCGAGATGAAATATACTTAGTAAGGAATTATAAGACAAATAAAATAAAAACATCTGCCCTGAAGATAAGGATAGTGCTGACAGATCAACTTCCAATCCGCTGCGTGAAATTGATAAACAGATTTCGGATTTCAAAACATACTTTCGCTTTGTAGATACAAATTACATATTAGTAAATATATATCGGAAATTCTATTTGACATAATCGAAAGTTCAAGCTTACTTTTATGAAATTGCTCTAACAGTCCGCAAAAAATAATAAGCCGGATCCAATTCGAAGATTAAGGAACAACGCAATCTGCAACATTAACTGAATTAAATAATTTTTGCTTAGATTATACCGTCCGTTACACGCATGCGCAAAAACATATTCGCAGCCGTAAAGGTCTTACGCGCATTCGTAAACGCCTGTGCGCATGCGTGAACGCGACGCATGCGCAGAAAGTTTGTAGCTTTGAGGTCCGGATTATGGGTGTCCGAATTAACGACTTTTGACTGTATTACTAATACTAGTTAAAAGATGTAGCCCTTTTTTTTCATGTGCCTTCTTTTTCCACACTTAAAACACTTTTGTTGCTTTCCCAGTTTGTTTATAGTTCTCTGTGATTTTAATGTTTATAGTTAGTTCTCTGTGATTTTAATGTAGTATTTCTTTCTTAATTATAAGTATGATTTTCCCCACTTATAATCACTTTACAGTTTTTCTAAAAGTTTGCTTATAACAAATTCATTTGGTTTAATAGATAAGTCACACATGCATCATATAAGATACTTTACTTTTGCTATTTGTAAAGCCCAGATTTGTAGGATCACATGCAAATGCTGAGAACTACAGTTGACATCTATATTGAGCTTGAGTATTTCTCTGTTCAAACACCTAACATAGATAGTTTCAGCCATATTTATCTGGCTGTTCTACGTATGGATACAAGGTCATAAATTCTCAAAGTTAGTATTCCAGAAAAGATCCCTTGCACTGCTCTATTTTAGAAATTTCCACTGAAGCATCATCAAGAACAGCCTCTGGCTTCACCGATCTTGTTGGAACAAACCTCAAACTCTCCTTCCTTTTTCCACAAGTAAACCCTCAACTATCCACTTTCATCTCACGCAGTTTACAAAGACAAGAAGTTTATCTGTTGTGAACAGTTTTATAATTATTTTTCTTAAATTTTCTTAGGAAAAAAAGATTTCCTTTCGTACAGAACACTTTAAGACTAACTGCAGATGCTACATGCTAGGCTTATGCCAGTACCAGCATTTCTAGTTAATATCAGATTGTGCCTATAATCTCTTGAAAAACTGAAAGTATGGTAGGTACCACTTAATGTGATCATGTTTATGTATGGCTATTTTGATAACATTGCACAACGAGAAACATTTTCTTCAAACTAGTAGTGGAATTTAATTAATATAAATATATCAAGAAATATACAAACAGGTATTTCCACAGCATTTTAAATAGGAAAATATGAAAGTTTGTTTATAATGTCTTTAATTGAAAAGTTCATTTATAAACTGTTCATAATGTTTCTCAAAATTTTTTGGCTGATGTAGTATCCCTAATATTAAAATTTGGAAGGCATTCTTCATTGGAAGAGAATAGGCCAATGTCAAATTTTAAATAAAGCAAAAAGCAACCCTAATTTGAAAATATTTTTAGAGAATTTTATTTCATTTTATTATTTTTTTTTCTGATTTTTATTCTATGTAGACTTTAGGAAATTCACATATTTTAACTCATAATATTACAAGTTACCTAATATTATGGATTTTTTATGTAAGAATCCAGATTCTACCATAAATTAATTTTTTGTCAATATATAATATGTACTTAATCATTTAAATTTCCAGGAATATATAGTGTCTGATCCAACTGATAGAAGTGTAGAAAATACACTAATTGTGACAATTAAGCAAGATGCAGAACCTGAAGCCTTCAAATCTTATTTTGGCCTATGGAATCCAGATTTATGGGATGTAAGTTAAACATATGTAAGTCAAAAATTTCTTAATTAAAATGATTTTCATTATTACTAAATTATAGACAGTTTTATCTTTGGCATTCATAAAATCTGAATTTTACTTAAGTTTTAAAAATTAAGATTACTGTACGCATTGCAGAAACATTACTAAAATTATCTCCATCGTGGAATTTTTAGAAGCTCATCATCAGTTGGATTCTTTTCTCATTAACATTCAACTGTGAAAAAAAGTTGTTCACATATAAATGCGAATAAAGGTTAATCAAATCTGTATCTTCAAATCTTTGAATACGATTTATATCATATTTAATTAGCTCAATTAATAGATTTTCTGGTGCATTATATACATTTTTTAATGGTAAAGAAAATAATGCAAACTCAGACTTTGAAATATTGAAATCTTTGCAACACTATATTTGCAAATATATAATTGAAATGTATTTACAGGCCGCATAAAATAGCATCAGAGGCTGCATGCCGCTTATTTTGTTTAGCTTCAGATATTTGTATTTTCTACTGTTTGCAGAACATCAAATAATTATTTTTATTATTTCACAGGAGTTATCTTCACTGCTGCAGAAAAGCTAATCTGCTGATTCAATTTCAAAAGCTTAGGAATCCTTTCTGAGAAAGAATAAATCAGATATTAAACAACTGTTGTAAAAATATAAGATTTATACTTTCATAATATTAATCTGCTATAAATGTTAGTTAAATACAGCAGACATTTTATTATCTGCCTTTTCAGCTTAGAGATATTCTGTTTTAGCCTCGACAGGGTTCATAGCCACATTTTAGTTAAAAAAAAATAAGCACCTATAAGCACTTTTCAAGCACATTTTGAGAAAAAAATAAGCACTTGTCTAATTACATTATACACAACTGCATAACCTTAAAAATTAGACTTGTAATTTAAAATAATGAGAAATGGAGTATTTATTAAGAGAGAATAAGCATTACCTCAACCATGGAAAATAATTACTTTTTTTTAAATTTTAAATAACAGTCCAATTTACAGAACTAGTTTACAACGAGAGGAAAAAAAAACTATGCAGAACTAAACTATATTACAAGATTTAATGATGAAATTTCAGTTCAAAATAGAGAAAATAAATAATAATCACTTGGAACCAAATAATAAATACAATTCATTTTTCCACTCATATTGATATTTAAATAATTTAAATCTAAATTCTGAACATTTTCTAAATTTTCATTGTATATCAGTTTTCCCGTAACAGATATTGCAAGCAAAGTAATTTAAGTAAAAAAAAGGAATATTTCTGAAATCAGAAGACAGAAATTTGCTTCATGCAGTCATCCTTTAACAGTAAAAGCTTAACTAACCCGCATACTTGGAAATTGGCGAATATTCGGACAGTCGAGCGTAACTTGAAAATGAGGAGCGGAGGGGGGGGGTAGACTGTATCCGCGCTTTAAATTTTTCCGCTAAATAAATGCTTTTGACATTTCGATATGCGCATCATATAAAAATAAACCAATGGAACTGAAAAATATTCTTCTTAGCAAGCACAGTAAAACTCTTTTAAGTGTTCATAAACAAATCTCGGGCAGAACATCAAAATTAATTATCTCTGCAAGATATCGCAAACGTTATTGCGCAATACGTGCGCCGTAATTCTTCCCTACGTGATATTACGCAATCGGAATCAACAGCTGCCGGTATTGGGAGAATAAATAACTGTGGTATTTTTCATTCTAATTTTCAACAGACGGGGTTAAATTTCCGGAATAGAATCATTCTTCGCTTGAGTTAGTAGACTGCAGAACTTTTAGTCCTATTCAATCCAGATTGGAAAGTGACCAAAAAAAAAAAAAAAAGTCTGTGGCTTGTTTTGCAGCGAACTGTAACAGTTTCAATATTCGAGATTTTGAGGAGAAAGGAGAGAACCTCCCAATCTTCGTACTGTATAATGTATAGGCCAAAAAAATGAAATTATTTTGACTATTCGATCGATGACTTTCCCTTTATTTAAGCCATTCCGAATATTATTCCTTAGAAAGCTTATCTGTGTTAAAACACAACCATTTTTGGAAGTTTACTATATTTCAGCAGTTACTGCAACTACGTTATTATAAACATTCATACATATGCTCATAATATAAGCATAATGATCATAATAAACACGAATATGAACTGACCAAGCGGAACGAGAATGCAAATTATTAAGATCTTGATAGAAATTCAAACGTCTGTAGTATTTGGGTGGGAGGAAAAGAATGCCGAATGTACCGGAATTTTCTACTGCATTCGCAATTCTTTGACCAATAGAACGACGGGCACCTGTCTGTACTCTTCCTGCACACCAAAGGTTATGTTAATGCAGAGATAGGGGGAAAAGCTATTTCCGGGAGTATGATTCACCATCTGACATTCCATATTAGGAAGAAAAGTTGTTTATTTAGTTTCGGCTTTGGTACCGGGAAAAATAGCGCGTTCATAAAAAAAAAAAAAAAAAAAAAAAAAAAAGCACTAAAAACAAAAAAATAAGGGCTTTAAAGAAAAAGTAAGCACTCATAAGGGCCTTTATATTTTATTTTCAAATATAAGGACTTATAAGCACTTATAAGGACCACTACGAACCCTGCTCGAGTACATGTACATTTTAATATTATGCAGCAGTTATGATATTTAAGATTGTGTTGCCTCTCAATAAATATTTTTATACAGGTACTATATTTTAAATGCAGTTATAAGGGCAGAAATATATATTTTTTATGTAAAAAGGGTTTACTATTAAAAATTTCTATTTTATTATATTTTTGCTAGAAAGAGCTAGTCAAACTTATTGTCATACCTTAGGGAATTATATATAAAGTTTCTTATAGAACTGACTATGTAATATAAAATATATGAAGACTATATTGTCTTGTTTTTTCTGCTTTCTTTTACTTAATCATTATTAATCTTACTTAATTTTACCTACTAACTGCTTAAAAACATTTTATTTCTTAATTTTTTTTAAATGGTGTACTTTTCTCTTTTGTAGTTGTATTATTTATTACACAGTACAAAATCCGAGATCCAGAGGTTAAATATCCGGAATGATCTAAAATCCGGACCTCAAAGTCACCACCAACTTTTGCCTAGTTTACTTATTTTTTTCTTGTATGCTTTACGCATGCTCATTTGATCCCCCCCCCCCTGCGCATAATAAAATGTGGAGAGTCTCGATTCTTAATTTAATGTTATTGAAGAAAAATCATTTTAGGATAAATTTTATATGACCAATAATTTAGCTCCACTGCTGCGTATCTGCTTGCCATACATCTCAAACCAAAGCATTCTACATAGATACATTGTTGATTTTACACCTACAAATATTTTTTTATCCCTGACACCAATTGGAATTGGATACTGAGACTCAGATTTTTGACTTTATTTGTTTTTTCTGGCGAGTTCCATTTTTTTATCATACTGCTGGCTTGCGCTGGCTAGGAGGATCGGGACTGTGCCCTTATAATGATAATGATGATAATGATTCCTGACGCCAACCTCGTGAATCATTATTTATTATATTTTGCTTTCATCACCACATGTTTATCAACACGACAATTTGAGTAACGACTCAGGTAGAAATGCCTAAAAAAATTTTTTTTAAGTTAGTAAGTGAATAAAGAATATGGTCAACTTTTATGCTGATATTACGCTTGGCAATTATAACAGATTTAAGTTAAATGTGCTAAGAAATGTTGACGAGGAAAAAATTTAACAAAAAATTTCTTTGCGAATGCTAAAAATATATTTTGTTAATGATACTCGTCAAAAGATTACATTAATGCTATATGAAATAAGAATTACAGATTTGTGATTCACACAAACCCAGTGCCAGAGTCTTAATTAAAAATTTAATAAAATAAATAAATATTAAACTTTTTTTGTAAATTTTGATGCTCTTTAAATTATAAATGCTTCAATATTTTATAAATCACAATTTTAATATTTTTATAATTTCTACATGCCATCTTATTAGATTTAAACTGATGATCTAATATCTGGAAAAATCCCAAATCCAGAATCGTGGAAGTCCCGACAAGTCCGGAACTCGGATTTTGTACTGTATTATTTTCTAATTTGAACTGAAATTATTTTGTTTTTATATATGTTGATTATATTATTTGAAAGATGTATTTCTTTTGATGTTACCATTTTATTTACTTTTTGTTATCTTCACAGTAATTTAGTTTTGCTATTGTAAGAACTTTTTTTTAAATTTAATCTATTGTAGGATGATACGTTTAAATACAAATTTCTTAACTTTTGCTGGCGACCTTCTTTTCAGTTTACCTTCATGGATTCATCTTTTATGTACAAACTTTCCCTAAAGATCATTACAAATGACAAGAACATCATTTAGTCTATGTTTCATAACAGTGTTTTCCATGAAAGTAAAAATTTCATAATCTTTTCAAAATTCAGTCAGGCCTTCTATATGACGAGTTAACAAATCTTCATTTATGTCATAAAATTACATAAATTTTTATTTTATTCCTCATGTATTTGCTGCAAGACAATATTTTCACAATATTATTTTTCAAGACTTTAATTTTTCTGTGCACGTTTTTAATATTTTTGCCCGTTTTTATACTAAACTGAGCTATGTTTATATGTACTGAATGCATATATTATTAGTTCCCCTCCCCCCAAAAATGTGTTTATTATGAGTTTAAATTGGCATTTAATTTGATGTGCTTTTATTCTATAGTGTGTTTTTTTGATTTATGTGGATGATATGCATTACACATTTGAAAAATATGTACAAAATCAACCTATGATATACTTAATGGGTTAATAGTTTTAAGTTTATTAGTGTTCATTGTAGATCTATTTTTGCCTATGTAACAGTCCTTAAAATAAATTATAATGGATAGTTCTGGCCAAAGAGCTCTGTTCATTGAAGATTTCTCATGCAGTCAGCATTAATACTATAAAATATCTTCCCCCTCCACTTCTTTTAACAATTTAGATAATTTTACTAGCAGTACAAGATGAGCATGGTAATTTTCTCATTTTGAAGGGAGAAACAAAACAAGAATTTTTGTAATTTAATTAATAAAAATAATCTGCTACTCAATAACATCTAAATTTGACTACTTGTTAAAAGAGTTAGTTTTTCTTGAAGATATATTTTAAGCTATATATAAAAGTTTCAGTTATGTTTTGTGAAGCAAAAAACAAACTTTGTGACAAAGAAATAAACATATGGAAGATATATTTCATGAAAGAATTATATCCTCCCTGCATTCGTATTTGAAATTTTCCAAAGTATGGGAATTGTTTATTACTTCATAGCACTTCTGATAATCACAATTTGTATAATAAAAAATATTTAAAACATGAGATTTCAAAAGACGACATAAATATCAATATCATTCAAACATTTTATACTCATCATTTTTAATATGGTACGATATATTTGTAAACACAATCACTTCTGGTTTAAAAATTGCAAATTATTTATTCATACAAATTACACATCAAATAAGTGATTTAAGCATTTCATAATATATTCCCCCCCCCAAGTACTTTCTTGTCTTTTGTAGAAATGCACACACACATTTTAAAGACGCACACACATATATATCCAACAGATGCAGACTTATTTGTCAACATTATCAGAAATATACTGCAGGAGAAAAATTTTATAACTTATAGAAAACAGTTGTCTTTCATTATGAATAAATAATAATAATAATAATAAAAATTTAACAACAGACTGCTTTCACTGCTTTTCTTCAAAAATTATTGTAATTCATAAACATTGCTCCTGCCATTTTTTGAAGTCTCTTGCTCAAGTTTAATTGTTGGTTTGCCAAATGTTTGTCTTAGTATTTTGATAAAATATTTAATGATTTCTTAGTTGCAATTTTTTGCAT